ATTCTGGATAGGTTCATCTCTTCGAAAATTGACTCCATATCTTGGTCAGATCACGCCATATCTTTTTAACCGTTAAAAACCATGTTTATCAGGGGAAGGAATGACCCTAGGTTGTCCAGCTGGTTTGGTGGGATGTCTTGCGTATGTAGGGGAGGATGGCTAGCAAGTATCTTCCGTCGCCGAGTTATTGTTTGTTCGTGTGATGGGACCGGATCTCTTCTGCGCCACACCACAGATGTCGTTCTTTCCATCAATCCGCTATTATGTTGTAGGGTTATCAGTGTGGTTGTTGTATGTGTCCCATATATGTTTTGCCTTCGCTACTGTAGGTCTTGGGCCAAATTGGTGTTGGTGCGTGGCTTCATATGTCCAATTGAGTGCAATTTGGTTCACTAGGTATGTATGAGACGGTATTTCTTTAGATTTCCAATGTCTCGCTATTAGGATAAGTACTGATGTAAGTGTATGGTAAATTAATGGTGAGTTTTGGACATCCTCTCAGGAAACATGTACAACAGGCACAGTGCAGGATTTTTTTTCTACCGGGTGGCAGAGCATATCCGACATGATTCGGAGGGTTTGTGTCCAGAGAGGAGCCAGTGTGGGACATGTCCATCATATGTGAATCCTCGTGCCCACTGCCCTCTCGCAATGCCAACACGTTTGTGGAGGTGGGCCAAATTTTGTGTATTTTTTCCAGTACTAAGTACCAACAGTATAATAATTTCCGTTGTATTTCTAAGTGTTGGGCACACAATGTCATTCCTTTATGTGCAGTGTAAGCTCTTTTCCACTGCTCTGGGCTCAACTCTGTGCCTAAATCTGTGTGCCAAGCTTTTTTGTAGTGCTCAAGTGTTAATGGTTGGCTGTGTAGGATCAAGTGGTAGCATGTGGAGAGAGATTTTATGTTTGGCTTATTTGATAAGCCTATGTTTTCAAACCTTGAGGTTAGTGCGTTTTAATACTTTCTCGGGATTAGTGGGTGTGTTGTCTGTTAGTAAAGATTTGACTTGGAGGTAAGGGAATAGGAACTTTGTGGGTAGATCAAATTGTTCCTGTAGGCATGGGAAGGTTTTGAGGTATTCCCCTTGGTATGGGTGGTGCCTTTTTCGGTCCACGGCTTATTGTTAAAAGTGGGGATTATCAAGCTTATAGATTGCAGGGGAGCTGCCATTGGAATTCTTGGGTGGTTAACCAATGTTTTCTTCACCCCGTCCCAGGTATCTACAAGCAACAGAGGGGTGGGGAGGCCTGGAAATGGTTTTGGTCTCCGGGTATTGTCAATCCAAAAGACTGAGCGGATGTGGTCCATTTTGAGCCAGACTGCTTCTATTCATGCCCATTGTGGGATATAATGGGAGTCGTGTGCTGCTAGCCTAGTGCTCAATAATGCTTTATAGTATAGATACAGGTTTGGGATACCCAGACCACCGCCCACAACCGGCCTGTGTAGGATTTTGGCGGCTACCCAGCTCTTTTTGTGTTGCCATGTGAATTTCACTAGTAATGAGGTGACCGACTTGAGGTAAGTGTTTGGTAGGGGTATAATAGTTTTGGTAGCAATGACATTTTGAATGCTGCTATGCGCCCCAACTATGAGAGGAATTTTCCCTCTCATTTCAGGGTAGTGTCGAAGTACCTCAGGAGTCTTACATAATTTGTGTGGAAGAGTCCTGCAGGTTGTGTTTTTTTTTTTTTTTTTTGTATTTTTTTTTTGAGTTTGATTCCTAGGTATGTTAAGTAGTCTGACCTCCAATCTAGAGGAAATGCCTCCTTTAGCCTGTTTCTTGCCTCCTTTGCCACTCCTATCATTAGTGCCTGTGTTTTGGAGACCTTTAATTTATAGTAAGAGTGGTGGCCGAAGATCAATTTGTCACATTAAATTGTGCATGGTTGTGTTAAAGTGAGAAGAATGTCTTCTGCAAATATGTTTAGTTTAAATTCTTTAGCGTCTAGGGGAATACCATGGATGTTCAGGTCTGATCTAATTTTGGATGTCCGTTGCTCCAAGGCCAGTACAAAGAGCAGAGGGTAGAGAGGGCATCCCTGTCTGGAGCCATTAGTAATGTTTATTTTCCAAGAGGGGAATCCTGCATAGAGAACCTGTGCAGAGGGCGTGTTGTATAGGGCATCTACTGCTGCAATGAATTGCATAGGGAAGCTGAATTTGTGGAGTACTCCTATTTAAAAATGTCCAGTTTAGTCTATCGAAGGTCTTCTCCGCGTCAAGGGACACGAAGAGGCCCTCCATTCCTAGTTTTAGAGCTGTGCATTAGATCTAGTACTTTGCAGGTATTATCTGAGCCCTGTCTACCCCTTACGAACCCCACTTGATCATCATGTATTAGGTAGGATAGTTTTAAGTCTGTTGGCTTGCAATTTTGCGAAGAGCTTGGCATTTGTATTGAGTAGGGAGATCGGACGGAAGTTTGGGCATGCGGTTGGAGGTTTCCCTGGTTTGGGGAGGGTGGTAATATGAGCCTGCAAGAGTTCTGTGGGTAGTGAGTGTTTATGGCGTTATTAAATAAAGTAGTCAGTGCAGGGGATAGGATGTCTGCGTATATATATGGTAATATGTGTTCGCGAATCCGTCAGGACCCGTGGGGCTTTGCCTGCCGGGAGGGTTTTTTGTGTCCTTTACTTCTTGTTGGGTGATAGGGGCTGAGAGGGCTTCTCTATGCTGTCGTGAGAGGGTTGGCAAATGGGCATCCTGTAAGTATTCATCGATATGTGCAGGGGATGTTGAGGGTTAGTGGGTTGTTTTCAAGGTTGTATAAAGTTTCATAGTACATGGCGAATTCGTCACTTATAGCTTTCGGAGCCACTAGTCTGTCTCCATTTGGTGTCTGTATGTGTGCTATTTTGGATGTGGCCTGTCTGTCTGGAAGTCTTTGGGCTAGTATTTTGCTTGCTCTATTACCCTGAGAGTAGGAAGTGGCGCTTAATTTCCTTAGGGAGTAGTCTACTTTGGTGAGTGCTAAAGTCTGTGTATTTTATCCTGTGTTTCTGAGATTCAGCTTTCTAACTCTGGGGACGGGTTTGTTTGGTTTAGTTTATTAAGATCATGTAGTTGTTTGTACCAGGTGACCCATTGGGTATGGGACGTCCGTTTAAGGTAGTGAGCTCTTTTGATCAGTTCCCAGTGTAGGACGGGTTTGTGGGCTAGCCAGATTGTTTCTGCCGAGATCCCTGGTGTAGTATTTTCTTTAAAATAGTTTTTGAGGGTGTTTTCTATGTGGTTGGTAAACATTGTTGTGTAATAGTGTTTTGTTCAAACACCAAGGGCTTCTATTGTGGCTCTCAAATTTGTCTTTTAGTTCCATGGTGATAGGTGCATGGTCTGACCATGTGATTTGTCTCTATGGAACATTTGAGTACCTGCATTAAGTGTTTTCCCTCAGTGAGCAACCTGTCGATTTGGGTGTAGGAGTTGTGAACCGAGGAGAAGAATGTAAAGTCGTGTTTTTTTTTCTCTGCGGGGTGGAGGTCTCTCCATGCGTCATAGGGGTTATGTTTGTCTAGCAGTTTCTGGTATGTTGTGCATTGTCTCCTGGCTGGAGTGTTTCCCTGTGTTCTTGATCCTTTGGATGAATCTAAGCCAGGGTCTAGAGTTTGGTTAAAATCTCCACATATCAACATTCCCTTCTGTATAGGTGCTATTTTAGCTAGTGTTCTGTGTAGGAAGTTGTGTCATTCTGAGTTGGGTGCGTATACATTTACTATTGTGTAGGTAATATCATTGATGGTGCAAATAGTATGATATATCTGCCTTCCTTATCTATGACTAGGTCATGTTCTGTGAATGCTACTCGGTTGCTTATTAGCACAGAGACCCCTTTCATTTTGGATTTTGCTGTAGCGTGATGTTGATATGGGTATGCGAGGGGTTTAAGGTTGTGTGGTTTGGTGAAGTCTGTCTCCTGGAGACACACTAAGTCAGGTTGGGATTTTTGAAGGTCTTGGAATAGGAGGTGGCATTTAACAGGGGTGTTCAGCCCCCTGACATTGTGGATATGTATTTTCATAAAGGGAAGGCCTATATGAGATGCTAGTTATGTTGCTGGTAGTGTAAGGTTTGTATTTCCCCTGAGTGTCCTTGTATGGCCCGGAGTTGGAGTCTATTGTGATGCATGTAAATAATGGTGCAGTGGGGTATATACTTGCAGTTATGACGTGTAACGGCTGTGGAGTTTTCGTGTGACATGTATCTGTGGTGGGTCGTATCTTTCCTTGAGACTTCTGTACCGGCACTGGAGCCTGAAGTTTACATGGGAACATCCCCCTCAGAGGGTCTGGGTTGGTCTAGGTAAGGGAGGGAAGGCAGGAAACTAATAAAAGAGAAAAGGAGAAACAGTGCGGTTAGGACCGCGTAGCCCATAGTGGGCTGAGTACCCAGAGTGTTTACTATGGAGGTTGGAAACCTCAAAAACATAAACTTAATATCGTAGGCGATTAGCCCTAAAACATTTCTAAACAATTCTGCATATATTATAGCTTGTTTTTTGTTTTTTCTCCTTTCTTTTTGCATATAAATGTTACAAACATAAATCACAGACTTGCAGAGGTGTCTGGCCTATAAGTCAAGTCAGATGGTAAAATACCTTCATCCTGTGGTTAACTTGGGCAAGTAAGAGAATGATTGATTGGCTTTTAGTGACATGGTCATTGACAAAGTTTATCTGGTGTCGAAAGGAGTGTCTGGTGAGTGTGTGTGCGCGCAACTATACAGTTGCTTTGCTTGTCTGAGTGTAGCTGTGCGCATATTTGTGGTGTGTTTTTTTTTGTTTTTTTCCGGGATTGCAGTGTGAGGTATGGGGGATAGATATGTCCACAATCAGGAAGCATCACCTCCCAGTCCTGAATCTGTAACGCTCATGTCTGGATACCAGATAGGGAACAGTGGGTTATTTTTTCGCATTCTTGTACTATTCGCTGTGGCGAAGTTGTACGCCCATGCTGTTTGCGGACCGGTAAACCCCATTGCTTCAGGGCCTTTATACCTTCTTCTGGTGTTATCGCGTGGGTGCAGGGTCCATTACGCTGGATAATCAGGCGTACCGGGTGCCCCCATCTATAGGGGATCTTGTGTTCCCGCAGGGTGCCAGTGATCTCCTTGAAGTCCCTTTGCCGTTGTAGGGTGGCCGCTGATAGGTCTGCATATATCTGTAGCTGGCCATATTGTGGTGGAAGATTTTTGTGGTTCCTGGCAGCTTTCAGTATGGCCTCTTTGACGTGATAATAATGTAGGTGAGTCAGCGTGTCTCTTGCTGCGTCTGCGGTTAGCAACTTCGGTTTGGCTACTCAGTGAGCCCGGTCCAAAAGAATCATATCCGTCGGCATGGCCCGTATAAGGCTCTTGAAAAACCCTGTTAGGAATTCAGGTATGTCAGATTGCATTAGTGATTCCGGTATTCCCCGCACACTCAAGTTTTGCCGCCGTGATCCATCTTCCAGATCAGAGCACTTGAGCGAGGTGAGTTGCATTTCCAGGGCTTGAACGTGGTCTGCTAGATCATTGTGGGCTTCTGCGTATTCGCCCATGCGGTGCTCCACGTGGGCTGTTCTTTCACCCTGCTCCTGGATGTCTTTACTGAGTGCAGTAACCGATGCTTGAATATTATTCAGCAATTTATCGGACACTTCGTCCAGGCATGCTCTCAGGATTTCTTGTGTGATGGGGAGATTCCCTGGGTCGGGTAAGTGTTGCAGGGGGGAGAGTGTCGTCTCCGCCGCCATCTTGGTCAGCCTCATGTTGGCCTTGGACTTTGTTTGGCGCTGTGAAGAAGCCTGACTTGTCCCCCCAGGTCAGGGATTTTCTTACCCTTTTGCTGTGCCATGCTCGTGGGGCAAGTGGGGGTAGGTTTTTTTTTTTTTCGTCAGAGTTGCTGGGTTTAGTCGCTTTGCGGGCTAATCTCTGAGCGGAGCGCTAGTGCCGTGCCACCATCTGCTTCAGCATTCAAGCCACGCCCCTCACAATTTTATCTAAAATGCCAATTGTTTTCATTTTTAAAACTGTTAAACAAATTTAACCCCAAATGTACACGTTGTGATGTAAACAAAACCTGGCATCTGCGCTATGTCTGTCCAACCGTAATTCACCTCTTTCATATTAAATGCACCCACACTTATTATATATAATTTTATTCAGGGGAAACAGGGCTTCCATTTAACATCAACTATTTAGGTATGGAACATAATTTAATATGAATAAAATATTAAAAAAAATTGTTAAATCGTTTTTTTAGTTCTATGTGACATTTTAACTGTGAATGTGAAAATACTGTTTGCATTTACTGCAATAAAATACACATTTGTATTCAACGATATCACATATGTAAAACAGTACCCCCTATGTACAGGTTTTATGTTTTTTTTGGGAAGTTACAAGGTCAAATTTAGCATGTTAGTTTAAATTTTTTTTTTCACACTGAAATAAGCTAGATTGTTTACGTTGCCTTTGAGACCATATGGGTAGCCCAGGATTAAGAATTACCCCATGATTGCATACCATTTGCAAAAGTAGACAACCCAAGGTATTGCAAATGAGGTATGTTCAGTCTTTTTTTAGTAGCCACTGAGACTGAGCAGACTGAGCATTCCCCATTTGCAATACATTGGGTTGTCTACTTTTGCAAATGGTATGCCATTTTTTTTCCTAATAATTCAATGGCCTGGAGTCAATTATTCCGCTTATACTACAGTTATCACACCTTGAAAGATTGTTCAGATGATGTATTTCAAGACGTTTATGTTTTTGTCATTAAAACGCATTTGTATGTAGGACTAATTTCTTACGCATCAATTCCCATGCCTTAGTTTCTAATTCCAAAACCTCATTTAAGAGTAGTGATGTCGCGAACCCGAAATTTTCGGTTCGCGAACGGCGAACGCCAACTTCCGCAAATGTTCGCGAAACGCCATTGACTTCAATGGGGAGGCGAATTTTAAAACACACAGGGACTCTTTCTGGCCACAATAGGGATGGAAAAGTTGTTTCAAGGGGACTAACACCTGGACTGTGGCATGCCGGAGGGGGATCCATGGCAAAACTCCCATGGAAAATTACACAGTTGATACAGAGTCTGGTTTTAATCCATAAAGGGCAGAAATCCTAA